ATGGCCTTCAAAAACATGTAGAGTCGACATGTTTTTGAAGGCCATAGATAGGCCTAAATAAAATGTTTTCAATTGTGTACCAGTTTAACGTTGAATATTATTTATGATTTTAACCTGTTATGTTGATGTGAAAGTAATTTGAAAGGGGGCAAGATAAACGTCCTGTAGAGGCATGTACATATTTTATGAAATGGTAAATCCAATGTATAATAGTTAATGCGTAATAATGTTTTATGTATGTATATAAGTATTATTATTCATGTGTGTGTGTGTGAATGTGTAAGTCTTTTTTTTTGAATTATTCTTTGTTACTTGTACTGTTTTTAAATAACAATAAGATTCAGTAACCCGAAGACTTTCGGAGGGTAAACCTTTAGTATCAGGAGTAAATGTGAAAAATTCACCTTTCGAAAACGCCCAGCTTGTGGGGTACCTTTTTTTTATCATAATTAGTGTCCAGTAAATGTTCGTGTTACAGCCTATCACATGTAGCGCAAATTGAAATGACTCATTTAATTGGAATAACGTAGCAATGTCAAAGGTCACCGTTAAAAGTCCTTGAATAAAGAGAAACGAAGAGTAGGGTGGTAGTGGCTAATGGCTGTGAAATTATAACATTGACCACCCACGGTTGCAAATGAGCCGACGGGTAACAGGAGATTCGAGTATACACACTCAAGTTTATTCTCTAGCTGGATCGAGAAATTAATTAAACGTATTGCCTTACATTCTGGTTAGCAAAGTGGCTTGACAATGCTTTTATTCTCCGTTTCGCTTTAGTCAAACGTCCGAATGCGTTACACGAATTCCTAATTAACACTATTCATCCATTTAATATCCCAATTTTCTATCAACAACCTAATAATTGAATTAAGAAAATTAGAATAATATATTTGTGAATTTAAAAAGAAAGTAAATGTGTGGATGTTTTGATGTTGATGAGTAAGCTTAAGTTGATTAGCTTTTTTTTTTTTAGATATTGTTTTTATATTCTTAGGACCTCGTCCAAGAAAACTGAAGACTTTAAAGAAAGTTCCGGAAGAAAAGAAGTCGAGAACCGCCTTTACTTTGGATCAACGCGCACGTTTAAAGAAAGAATTCCAAGAGAACCGATATTTGACTGAAAAACGACGTCAAGATTTAGCAAAGGAACTCCAGCTAAACGAATCTCAGATTAAAATATGGTTCCAGAACAAGCGGGCTAAAACAAAAAAGGCCGCTGGTCAGAAAAATCCCTTGGCCCTACAGTTGATGGCTGAGGGACTCTATAACCACAGCACCTTACTTGATCTTAAAGCTGATGACCTAGGAACTTTATAACCACAACTCGTTACTGACCTTACAGCTGATGACCCTGGGACTCAATAACTACAGCAAGTTACTGGCCTTACAGATGATGACACAGAGGCTCTATAATCCCAACACGTTACTAGTTTTACAGTTGTTGGTCTAGGGGAATTTATAATTACAGCCCACACGTTACTAGTTTTACTACTACCTGACCTTACTGTTGATGACCCTGGGACTCAATAACTACAGCAAGTTACTGGCCTTACAGATGATGACACAGAGGCTCTATAATCCCAACACGTTACTAGTCTTACAGTTGTTGATCTAGGGGAATTTATAATTACAGCACTACCTGACCTTACTGTTGATGACCCTGGGACTCAATAACTACAGCAAGTTACTGGCCTTACAGATGATGACACAAAGGCTCTATAATCCCAACACGTTACTAGTTTTACAGTTGTTGATCTAGGGGAATTTATAATTACAGCACACTACCTGACCTTACTGTTGATGACCCTGGGACTCAATAACTACAGCAAGTTACTGGCCTTACAGATGATGATACAAAGGCTCTATAATCCCAACACGCTACTAGTCTTACAGTTGTTGATCTAGGGGAATTTATAATTACAGCACACTACATGACCTTACTGTTGATGACTCAGGGGATCGTTAATCACAGTACATTACCCGATCTTACAGTTAATGACAATGGAGCTCTAATAATCACAGCTCACTACTTAACCTTACAACTGATGACCAAGGAGTTCTATACTCTCAACACCTTATCTGGCCTTAAAGTTGATGACCAGGGACTCTATAATCACAGCAAATTACTAGTCCTATCCAGAAGCTCCAATAATCACGACACATTACTTGACCTTACATTTGATGACCCAGGGTCTCTATACTCACAACACCTTATCTGGCCTTAAAGTTGATGACCAGGGCTCTATAATCACAGCAAATTACCAGTCCTATCCAGAAGCTCCAATAATCACGACACATTACTTGACCTTACATTTGATGACCCAGGGTCTCTATACTCACAACACCTTATCTGGCCTTAAAGTTGATGACCAGGGACTCTATAATCACAGCAAATTACCAGTCCTATCCAGAAGCTCCAATAATCACGACACATTACTTGACCTTACATTTGATGACCCAAGGTCTCTATATTTACAACGCCTTACTCATCTTAGATTTTGTTGATAACGAGGAAGATTTCAATATTTCTAACTGAACTTAAAACCGAAATCACGAAGATAAACCAAAACGGAGTTGAAGTTAAGATTTTGATCTATGCAATTTCTAAGTTAAAGAAAATCTCACGCACACACACACATAAACGACATAGATATATTTATTTTTTGTTATTGCGCATGTTACTGAATATTAATATTAGATAAAATTTACAATGTATTCTGACTGTCTGCAATTGGCTGGTAAGTTATCATCAGTTATAGGTGGCGCTTATTTAAACGTTCTCTGTTTCATATCCTAAACTAAAGTAATACTAACGATGAAATAATAATATTTATATTTAAACCTTTCTATTAAGGTTAGGGTTAAGTAGTTGACTGCGTATAAATAAATTTCACAAACAAATAAAATATTGATTGTAAATAATATATATAGGACATCAAACAGGGTAATACTATCTAGGGTAATTTAACACCAAAAGACGCCCTCTATACTATTATGAAATAAGTTCCACGTTGAGTTACACCGTGCTGTCCTTACTTGAGCAGAAACGTACAAGGTTAACGAGAGCAAGCATTAATTAAATAACGATACTATAGAACGGTTTGTGTTATCCGCGCATTACACTGTATTTGCCGTGTGATAAACACTAAAATATACAAAAGAAGAAGCTAAGGTATATCTATGCTTCTTTGGTGCCCTCATTACGCAGGCCTATAAAACAATAAAAAACTACGTAAAATGTAATTGTTCGTTAACAATATACAGCTGCAGTAAACTTAGGTAATTATTGTTAACAGAGAGGTATTTTTGAATATATATATATATAAATATATTTACGATTATTTAAAAACTCTTTATTATTTTTAACTTAAAACAAAAGATACTGTTTTCAAGGATACTCTTCAGTTTCTAGAATAAAAGAATCCGGGAAGACACGAAACCGGATTTATGCATTTATGTATGTGTGTTTTTATTTATTTATTTTAAATTAACAATAATAAAGAGTTTTTAAATTATCTTAAATATTTTTATATTGTTTCATTTTATCAATCACTTCTCTGGAATAAAAAGCAAGATGGATGGTTTTTAGTCTTTCGTAAATTTCCACGCTGCGTGACCATATTTCTTTTCTTACTTATTGGTAACCATCATTTGCTGGTTTTGTACCATATTAACTAATGTTAGACGTAAATAAACGTAATTGAAATCTGTTTGCACAGTCTGTCAAGTTTAAATGGTACAAGATATTAATAATATCTCAAATGTTAGGTCACAAGCATCTGAACTTGGACTAGTTTGATATATTTTATAAAACAGAGCCGTCTAAATGTGACAAATAATAATCGTAATAGCGGGTGATATTCTACAACATCGAATTCGATGACGAGGAACCCACTTTGAAACTAATAATGGCTGAAGACGGCTTGAATGGGTAATGAAGAAAAACGTTAATATAAGTTTAACATAACAGCAAATGTACAACGTTTCGTCATCATTCAAGCCGTCTCCAGCCATTATTATTCTACAACATCGTTCTACCATACTATAAAATTCAAATCGGTTACAAACTGCCAAAACATTTATTTCTCGAAGATGATTTTTCGAGTTTAAAACTTTAAATACAGATGAATAAAGATGTTTTTAAGTATTTCAATGTATAATATTAACCATTTTTCCTTCCGTGACCTCCCATCTACAGACATCAGGAAACTAGAATCATGTCAACCAAAGAGCAATTGATAGTCACTTTCCCACGATTTAGGCTTAATGTATTTAAAGTCATATAGAAACTACTAAGCCATTTT